ATTATAGCTTTGCAGGAAAGAGTAATCTTAATTGTAGGCCCTTGCTTTTCATCATTTTAAATATTTCTTGCCACTCCTTCCTGGCCTGCAAAGTTTCTTTTGAGAAATCGGCTGACAGCCTTATGGGAACTCCATTGTAGGTAACTAACTACTTTTCTCTAGCTGCTTTTAAGATTCTCTCTTTGTCTTTAACTTTTTGCATTTTGATGATAATGTGCTTGGTGTGGACCTCGTTGGGTTCATCTCTTTTGGGACTCTGTGCTTCCTGGACTTATATGTCTGTTTCCTTCACCAACTTAGGGAAGTTTCCTGTCATTATTTTTTCAAGTAAGTTTTCATTTCTTGACCTCTCTCTTTTCCTTCTGGTACTCCCATGATGCTAATGTTGATATTCTTGAAGTTGTCCCACAGGCTCCTTATCCTCATTTTTTTTGGATTCTTTTTTCTTTTTGCTGTTCTGATTGAGCGTTTTTTGCTTCCTTATATTCCTAATTGATGGTTTGCTTCTTGGCTTTACTTATTCTACTTTGCTTTATTTCAGTTAGTGCATCCTTCATTTCTGACTAGACATGTATTATGCTCTTGAGGCCCTCACTGAGTTCATTGAGCATCCTTATAAGCAGTGTTTTGAACTCTGCATCTGTTAGGTTGCTTATCTCCATTTTGTTTAGTTCTTTTCCTAGAGTTTTGTTCTGTTCTTTCATTTGGGACATGTTTCTTTGTCTCCTCATTTTGGCTGCCTCCCTGTGTTTGTTTCTGTGTATTAGGTACAGTTGCTATGTCTCCTAAGCTTCCTAGGGTGGCCTTTTGTAATAGGTGTCCTGTAGCGTCCAGTGGCACAGCCTCCCTGATCATCCAGCTGGGCCCTTGAGGTACACTCCTCATGTGGACTTACATCGTTCTGTTGTAATTGAATCTTGATCACTGTTGACACATCAATGGGAGGGATTTACTCAGGCTGATCAGCTGCAAGGACTGGTTGTGCCCACTAACCACTGACCTCTGACTACCTTGGAGGATCAGCTGTACAGGTTCCACCACACAGAGAAAGACTTAGTTCAGCAGGGTTCTGGTACCCCCTGAGTTCATTTCTTGAGTGTGTCACTTGTGGAGATGTTTGGTTGGTGGTGCTTTGACATGGTCTGAGGCTGTCCACTGTGTGTGCCAGCTCTGGGGCAAGGTCAGCCATTGTCTGTGTTCTATCCGGGGCCACCAGGCATAAGCTACAAAGTGATCTGCTGATGGCTGCTTCTTGTGCTGGGCTTGGAGGTGCCCAGGCAAAGCCAAGCTGCGAACCAAGGCTAGCTGCTTCTAGTGCCAGGCCTGGGGCCACTTAGCAATAGGTATGGGGCTCACTGTGGCCAGATGCTGCTTGTTTGAGAGAATTTAGGACAATCTGAAGCAGGAACCAAAACAGGCCAATCCTATGGTAAAGCCATTGGAAACAGCTTGGGTGGGCCGGAAGGTGGGTGGGGCAGGGCTTCAGGAAATCACCAGGGTGGGGCAAACAGTGTGAGCCATGTTGCTGGAGTCCTGGATATGGCTGCCATTTTCTGGTCTCATGGGGGAAGGGCTCACCAAAGGAATATTAGCCTCCGCCAGCATGTCTGTCCAGTAGAAAGCTGCCTCTCCAGAACTTGCCCCGATGACAAACAACTCAGTTCTTTCCCATATGTCTCTGGTGTCTTTCAAGCTGCCTCCCCTTCACATTGGAGCTCAGAGGGAGTGGGTTGAGTAAGTCTGTGTGAGGGCCCTTTAAGAGGAGCTGCCTGGGACTCAGATGCCTCAGCCTCCCTCAGGCTCAGTTCCCACTGGTTTTACAGCCAGAAGTGATGGGGACTTCTCTTCCTGGCACTGGAACCCTGAGCTGGGGGCCTGGTGTGTGAGGGGGAACCCTCACTCCTCAGGGAGGACCTTTCCAGCTGTGGTATCCTCCTGATTTTATCTGCCTCTGCCCCTGCTACCACTCTTCATGTGGCTTCTTCTTTAATTTTGTAGTTGTAGGACCTCTATTCAGCTTGATTTCAAGTGGTTCAGAAGGATGTTTGTTTTGAAGTTTAGCTGTAATTTTGATGTCCAGATTTCTTCAGGTAAAGTCCCAGAAGTAGAATTGCTGGGTCATAAAGCAGTTCCATTTAAAATTTTTGAATTAACTCCATACTGCTTTCCACTCTCCGTAGTTTTTTTTTTTTTTTTGGTACCTGCCCCTAGCGAAAACCAAACCCAGGACTCTCTGGTCCATAGGCCGACGCTCCAACCGCTGAGCCAAACTGGCCAGGGCTCTCCGTAAAATTTTTAAAATATATTTTCTAAGTGAAAAAGAGCCATTTATAAAATAACATGTATCTTATAATAAATAAATTTGAAAAATATGTTTACTCTCTTTCTTTCCTGCCACTTCTCTCAAACCCTCAAACCCACCATCATCTGTCTATCTATCACTGACTAGGCCTGGAAGAGCTTACATCAACATATAAAAACTGGTTATTTCCAGATGTTGGAGGTAAGGATGTTTTTTTATTTTCAATGTTTGCTAAGTTTTTTGCACACAGCATGTATTTATTTTATTATTTTTGAGAAATGTTAGCATTTGTATAATAAATAATTAGATTACTTATGGCAATGGGTCACAAATAGTGTTAGAAAACTCTTTGAACCACCTTGTTTAATCAAGCTTTAACCCTTTCAGTCAAATTATATGAACAAATGGTTTTGGGAACAGCTTTATGAAGGAGTAAAATGAAACAAAAATGACCATTTTAGAATATACACTCCAGGAGTGATTGAATACAGTAGGCAGCAAATCTAATATAATCTATTATGTCAATTTCTAGGACAAAAATACTGGTTAGGTACCCCTGCTTCCATCAATGCTTCCTAACTGTTGTTATTAATAAGGACCAACATATTTTGTTTATATATAAATTTAATGAGGACATTTTCACTTAGATTACATATCTGTATTTAAAAGTAATGAAGTATCATGGATTGTCTTCCCATTCCTCAAAGTTCCAGATAAGGCCTACTGGACTCATTGCTAATCCTGGCATTCAATTCTCTGGAGATATTAACTTTGTCATATGGATATGCATAATAAATAGAAGAGTTTTTCCTTTTTCTCTTTATTTTTATCACCAATACAAAAGAGACTATAGGTCCAAATAGAATACATGCTGACCACTATTCAGTGGGAGATTGTGCTATGCTAGTATATGGAAAATTATGTCCATTTTGCCAAATCAAAATCTGAAGGCAGATTTCCCTGTCCTGTGGCCTGGGAGGCACAATAACATTCACCCTGATGTTGACAATGGTGAGGGTGGCTAGATTACTCTGCTGGGTAATTTGTATAACGGTTTTAAATTGGGTCTAAAAAAAGTAAGCGTTGGATAGTTGGAGAGGGTAGAAAAGAGTATGAGGATATGGGGCAAGTGAATAAAGCAATAAGAAGAGCAGAGGCATGAACATAAATAAGTACTGTGATTGCAGTATGGTGTCAACATTGATTATAAAAGGAAGTTAATTCAGGGGACCAAGGAAGACTATATAAATAGTGTAGGGTCAGATTATGGTGGGAGTTCCTTAGAAATATAATTTAGGTTTGGTTAGATAGTCAATGGAGAACTAAAGTATTTCTACCTACATTGTCTTTAGTGCCATATAAAAGTGTTGTTTGGGGGGGGGGGAGTTAACAATTATTGAGTACTTTCCTTGTTCCAGGCAGTGTGTTATAATTATGGTGAAGAGGCTGGCCTTTGGAGTTGGTTGGAGGATTAGTCCTGACTTTGGACTTTACCAGCTATATGACTTTGGGAAAGTACTTAATTTCCTGAGTCTCAGTTTCTTCTGTAAAACTGTTGTAATAATACCCACCTTTCAAGGTTGTTCTATGGAGCACAAAAATTGGAGAAGGGAGAACCTGTGAACAGGGAACAGTTAGGAAGCTACTACAATTATTGAACCTAAGAAAATGTGATAAAACCACTGGAATATAGAGGGAAACAAACTGCAAAAGAAAAGTAAAGAAATAGGACAGGTGACAGACTCCTTCTATCCACTCAATTTGCAAGTTCCTTAATTATGTTCATTTGACGTAATTTGGAAATTTGAAATTAGATCTGAAGTATATGATCCCTCTCTGGACATTATCAATTGTTTGCTCATTTCCTTATAGCTACAAATAACCATTTGCTCTCTCTCTGTTCACCATTCCAATATTTCCTACATTATAGGAACCAAACTCCCTTTCCTCAATCAGTTATTAAGCAAATAATACAAAATAAGACAAAATCATTTACTTTCTCACACTGTATTTAAAAACAATTTTTTTTTTGGCTTTCACTTTCTTCCATTCTCGAGTTTGCCAATCAACCAGTCTTCCTGCATATTCTCACTGAAGCAGGATTCCCTATCATAACAAAAAGTAACAAAAAAACAAGGCTTAAAAAGAAACCCAATCATGCTGTTTCTGGGCTTAGGGAAACCTGAAACTTTTTAAAACCTTCTGTGGCATCACTCAGTCCTTTGGTGCCCAATTCCTGCCATCAGCCAACATCAGAACAATCCGTACATAATAAATAAGGGTCTTAAAATGCACAAGGTTCTGAGAGCTTGGGCTTTCTTACTAGTGTCTGGATTCAACATACAGTTTCCTCTTTCAAGGAGTATCCGTCTTATTTGCGTACATTTCTGAGGCGGAAGTTATATGCAGAACTTTTAGTCTCCGTGGGAAAAGGTGTTTCATTCTAATCAAATTTAATTAAATGCTCCTTTACGCTGTTTCTTCTATCCCTCTTCTGTGGGAGGCAATAGTCAAAAATAAATGTTTCAACAGATCTCGCGGTGCTATTCGAGATTCCCCATTTAAAAAAAAAAAAATTAGAAATGATGCAAATAAGCCTGTGCCTTCCGGGATTTGGGGCTGGGACTGCAGAGCTCCTAGCCCAGTGAAAGCAGCCAAGGGAGGAGGCGGGGCTCTAGCGAGTTCCCCTTCAACGTTACCCCACCCTTCTCTTCCAACCTCTGTTTGGCCCCTAGCTCAATTCCAGCCTTTGCTTCAGCTGCTCTCCAGCCATTTGCAAGACTCAAACAACCGCAGCCACTGTTCCCAGAATGGTGATCCGTGTGTACATTGCATCTTCCTCTGGCTCTACCGCGGTAAGGAGGGTGGGGAGCCCACCTTTGTTGTTTTCCTACACACCAGACTGCTGCTGCCCCAGAACCGTTAAATTGCAGAAGTTCGTCTGGTAGCTTCTCTTTCTGAAGACACTCCCACCCCACCCCCCTTCTTTCCTTTCTTCCCTTTGTTGCATCGATTTCATTTTTCCATGGACCTTAGCTTTGTTTGCCTTGTGACGTTAGGGCCACGTTTCTTCTTTGAAGAAAAAGAAAGCGACTGAGTTTTGGTAGAAAGGAGATGGTGGTATGGGGTCTTTAAGGTTAGGTGAAGAAGTCAGGTAAAAATCACACACTGGTGAGTTTCAAAAGTGGGACATTTGACATATGTGCTCTAGTTACTGAGGTGCGGGCAGAAGTGCACATCTGTAAGGGATGTAAAACGTGCTTTAACTTATAATGACTAAGTGGAGGCCTACTGAGGCATTGTGATTATTTTCAGAGCATAGTAACCTTGTATTAAAAGAGTTATTTTGCTAGTATGTATAGAGAGTGTTTAACTTCACTCTAAAGAGTCTGTTAGAACTGGACAGAATGGAAGAAGTTGGGAACAATGATACAAAGTTGTGGGTTTAAAAAATAAATAAGGATGAGGGACCTGTGTCCCCTCCCCTCCCATATTGTCCCTTTTTTTGACTTTTGTTTTCTTTCAAAAGATTTTACCTCTAACATTTTCTAACTGCTTCAAATACATTGAGAAAGGGAAAGGGAACTAAGGAATAGCTTCTTGTGTAGTGGCAGACTGAAGTTGCCTCTTCAAATGATAGGACACCTCCCCTCCAATTCACAAGCTCTTAATTTTATAATAACAATTTTTCAGCAGCTATGGGTATCAAAAGGATAAAGTGGGGTGAAAGCTGAGTGTATATCCATGATAAGTGAAAGTATCTCTGTTTTTCACAACTCAAGAGAAAAGCCAACAGTATCAAGAGCATATGTGTAGGTTCAGATATAGGATGTAGGAAACCCCTCCCTCTTCTGAGCTTTAGAGCAGCAACTTTTCCATGTTTGTTTGTTTGTTTGTTTGTTTTGCTTATTTACCCCCTAAGAGGTTTTGGAGTAGAACTGAAGGTTGTGTGAAATCACAAGAACCTTGAACTTTGTCTTTCTGACCACCATGTATAGGTTGGTTAGACAATTTTGAAATAAAATACTTAACTGTACATTTTTTCAGCAAAGTTAGGGTGAAAAAACTTTTAATATTGCCTTTGAACCTCACTTTATGAGCTTCATTGCCTTATTATTTTCTCTATGTATTGATTCTGATATTTCAAGTTAATATTCGAGTTACTCAGAATCTCAAGTCCAATACAATGATTGTAAAATTTTGAAGACCAGCTTAATACCCTTAATTTGATGGAACAGATCAGGAAGTTAATTTCATTTTGGGTGATAAGCAGTTTCAATATTGCTGTTCATTCTTTGCTTTTTCATTCTTCTACCCATCCCCAGAAGAAGATTCAAGAAGAAACTCCTTTCAGAATTTCTCTTCATGTAAGAACAATTGTACCTCTCTCTTTGTTAAGACTTAAGTTTTTAAGAGTCTGAAAAATGACTGCTGTCTCCTATTATGTCCATTTTTAGACTCCATTGCTGAAGACTATGCATATAAGAAATATTTAGGCTACTTGTGTTTTGTTTCAATTTTATTTTCTTATGGGTACTTAGAGATTTGTCTGTTGTTGCAGTAATACTTCTGATGAACCTGTTATCAAAGTTCTACTGCATATTGCTGAAATACATCCTTGTTTGATTATAATCTTACAGCACTTTTAAATAATACTAAAACAATATAAAGTGAGTGTGCTTCAGGAAGAGATTCTTTATACCATAAATGGTGACACTTCAAGATTGATGCAATATTGTTTTAAAACACGATTTAGAAATTTAGCAGCAAACATCATAATGGGAACCCAACAATTGCACAAAGTGAGATGTTCCTATTAAGTGACTAAGTGTAGTTCTCTGAAGAACATTTAAATGATAGCTTTTGGTTTTATATTAGTAATCTCTGACTGTTTTCTGACTCCTCCTAATAGCTGTCATAAAAATAACCAATATTAGATGTTTTATCAGGCAGGGTAGGACCTATGGAAATTGCATTACAATATTAACTTATTCTTTCCTTTGTCTTTCCCTCATAGCCTAATTTAAAAACAGTTTTCGAACTTGTACTTAACTCTGCCCCAATATGGAAGAATAACACTTTCTTCCCAAAAGTTTAGAAATGAAAGCAAGTGTATTGGTTTTTTATAACCGACCATGAATTTCTTGATAGTAACCATAATAATGATAGTAGAAACACTTAAGTGTGTCAGATACTATTTCAGTTTTTCTTGACAATTTTTAGTCTTATGAATTAGGCACTATGCTTATTTCTATTTTTAAGATAAGGAAATACAGGTTCAGAGTGGTTTAACAGCTTTCTCAAGGTCACGCCACTAGTAAATCACAGAGATTGAATTGAATACAAACAGTTTGAATCCAGATAACATGTGATTATACACCAAGATTTATATCCTCCCATTGGTGCTTGGCAGCTAGGAGGAATATTGAGATAAATGTCAACATGAGGTGAGAGGTATGGAAAGGAGTAAGTCCTGTAAGTGGGACAATCACCTGGGTATATACATATAGGGGAATAGAAAAAAAGGGGGCTAGTGTGAAGGAGGGAAAGTATGTCTAAAGATGAATGTCAGTAAGTGGGGTAAATGACTATTCATTCAGGATCAGGAAGATTGCATAGACATGCACATTTGGAACTGATCTTTTATAGGTCAAGGTATGGAAATTCAGGTTTTAATACTGTTTCTTTTTATGGAAACCATTTAGCAGGAATGCAACTCCCAAACAGTCTGTCTATAGGAAGTGATTTCTGCATGTTCAGAACTGTTCATGCATGTCTTGATCCATTATAATAGTAATATTCAGCATGTTTTCCTTGAGATTATAATATCCTGTAAATTTTTATTTAATGGAAAAGGAATAGTAAGCACAGAGCTTATGTAGCTTAATACTTTTCAATAACTTTAAAAAAATAAACATTGGCTCTTGCTCAGAATTACTAGAGTGATGATGAATTTGTTTTAACTGGTTTGGGAGTTTTCTTTCTATACTTCTTTCCAGTAGATCCATAATGATCTCCATTTTGTGGCCTCTATGCAATCTAGGTATGATTGGTGTAGAAATTTTAAGGTTATGGTAGGTAGATAGATGATTTCTGAGAAGTTTATTTATGGAATAACTTTTGTAAAATGACCTCTTTTATGTCTGCTAAAACATAAACTACTTGGATTGTCCATATAGCAAATGAAATATGCATACTTTTTCGCTATGGCAGCATTCCATGTACATGTTATAAAAACAAGTGAGTAAAATGAACACTTGTGATAGCAAAAGCATGAGTCACTAGTCACACTATTTTCTTTGTTCAGATAATATGGATATAGAACAACACTCCACAGTTCTTAATTGCATCTTAAGTGACAAAGTATTTTTGCTTCTCTGTCTCTGTATTTATAAATTGAACATTGGTTTGATGTATGTAGTGATCTTCACATAGCTTCCAAGGTTTGATTGAATTCTGTTTAAAGCTATTAATGAACTACTTAGAAGAGCAAAATCAGAAACTAGACATACACTTTGGATGTCCTTAACAGTGGAAACTGGGCAGCTTTTACATGGCCAACGCATTAAGTCAAGATAAATGCCTTCAGCTTGGTGCCCTCTATTTGATGAATGACTTCCTAAACTTAATAGCAATGATGAAGCCTTTGGAATAATACGGCCCAACTTAAAGAGGCTTGGGAAACACAGTTATCAATTACAGTCAGCCCTCGTTTATCGCGGTTAATCAATTCCAGACTATGCTGTGATAAAAAGAAAGAGAAGTGAAGTGGCGAGGGACGACTCTATGATGATTCTTGAGAACTTAAAAAGGTACTTAAGCCCTGACCAGTTTGGCTCAGCAGTTAGAGTGTTGGCCTGTAGACCAAAGAGTCTTGGGTTCAATTCTGGTCAAGGGCAAGTACATGTACCTCGGTTGTGGTTTGATCCCTAGCCCTGATCAGGGTCTTGCAGGAGGCAACTAGTCAACGTGTTTCTCTAACACTGATGTTTCTCTCTCCTTCCCTCCCATTCTATCTGAAAATCAATGGAAAAATATCTTTGGTTGAGGATTTAAAAAATAATAATAACTAACTAATAAATAAAAAGGTAATTTAAAGTCAAGTAGTAGTAGGAAAGAATGTATTATGGAATTTAATAAAAGATTCATAATCTGGTAGAAGAGAAGAATAAAATATATCCTTCTCTGTCTTAAAGACTAGTTATTCTAGGGTTTTGATCAATAAACCTTAAAGTCATTCCTTGCCCTAGGTTGGCCGGGAAAAAATAAATTGAAGCCCCCCACACAATCAGGTCAAATGTTCTAATTGTCTGTAGTTAGTCTCGAAATTATTTTCTAAAATATATGTTGGGCAATAAAATGTGTCCTTTACAGGAATATTTTCTGATTTAATTGAATTATCAAGGGTGAATGTTCTATTTCATTTCTTACTGATAAAATTAAACAGATTGGGAGTCTGCTGCTGACTGTCTCACCATCTGTTTTCTTTCAGTTCTATTTTGTAGTCCACCAGGAGGCCTTTTAAACTTGGTACTTAATTACTCCTCTAATCCAGACCAAGATTAAACAAACTGTACATTCAGAGAGAAGGGAAATCTCATTTAGGATGATGGTATTTAGTAATATGAGAGGCAAAGCTTGTTATATATGGACAGTAGGGAAGAATTCTAAGCAAAGGAATTATTTTCTAGCCCAGTCTCTCACATTTTGGTTTCATTAGTTGATCATGACAATTTCAAAGGTTGCATATTTAAAGTTATTTAGTGTCAGTGCTGCTAGATTTTTTTTGTTTTATCACCCTTTCATTAACATGATTAATCAAGATTTGACTCTAGTAATAGTAAAGACTAATATT